AACTGGCAGAGTATAATTTTCATTGTTGACTACACACATTCCTGTGGTTTCAACTTTAAAATCATTACACTGGAGCTAGGATTCTGGTGTGGTAAAACAGGTCAAAGAGGAAAAAATTGTGTCCTCATCCCTTTGTTGTCTGTAATTTTCTGTATATGTATAATACGACAATATTACAGTGGTTTATCATAGAAGTATATCAAAATACATATATATGAAAATAAAATTCGGAAAAAGTGGAAGAAAGAAATAGAATTTTGTTAACAATGTAGAAAAGTCACACTAGGAAAGATTTTGTAAGAAAATATAATTGCTTTCCATTCACTTAACCTTTGCTTGAAGGAAAGAAGCAATACTATATTTGTTTCCTTATTTTGCAAATTTTAATTCAGCAGTTTAATTTTTACCATGATCGAAAGAATTTAAAGGAACTAATATTCCAGTTCTGTCTTACATTTAAGAAGATTGGGCTTAGTATGTCTCCAACACAGCAGTTCTTCTGCTGGTGTCAAAGGCATTCAGCAGATAGAATACAGGTGGTCTGTGAATTTGGGTGGGAAATGTCATCTTTATTTTCATTAATATCTAAATGAAATTTAGTATTTCCTTCAATTTTGAATATGGGCCATAAACCTCAGCATATTAGCAGTATCTGTACCTTTGTCATCTGTGGAAATCAGATATTTTCATAATATGTTACAGTTATTTTTAGCTATCTTGAAATACTGTTTCATAATGTCAAAAATCTAGACACTTTGTTTGGAGGAGTTCATGGGACAGAAGCAGGTTAAGAACACCTGCTCTTAATTTTCTCCTTTACCTTCAATTTTCCTTCTTTTGACAAAATTGGTGAAAGGCACGTTGGGTTTGTTTATTTAGTGGCAAAGAGGAGACACATTATAACTGTATTTTCACTTTCCACCTCAAACTTCACTTATTATCAGTCCTATGTTGTCCAGCTAGGTACCTTCCAAGGGTCTTTAAAACAAATAAAGGATTTCACATGTGCACATGGATTGAATCATCCTTAACCTTATCATTAGGAGGTTTTCTTTTTAAAAAAATAAAAAGATTAAAAGGTACTTAGAATGTTTTTCCTATTTAGAACTCTTCTCTTAAAATATTTTAAAGATCCTAAAAGTCAGAAATCAGAAAGAGCTGTTAAAAATATAAAG